TTGTTCACATTCAACTGTAGGAAATTTACCCTCATCCAGGACTTGATGTCCAACAGGGAGTCTATCAGGACAGCAGTGGTCCTGGAGTTGAGGGTGGAGGCAGAAAGATAGAGTTGGGTGTCATCCGCATATAAACATATAAATATATGTATAAACACAGTCACAAATTAGTTGTGACTCAAACTAGTTCAATTGTATTGTTGTACAATCTTTGTAGATCTATTTAAATCTATGAATGATGAATAGAATGATAGAACGATGAGTTTCTGGAGTTACAATTCTACAACAACAACAAAAAATTACATTTGTTTGGCGCCTTTCTCTTCGGGAGGACGTCCCAAGGCACTGGACAGACAAAGTTACGGACCCGAGCTGGGGGTCGGGAAGGTGGAGGGCAGGGGGGGAAGCAGGGAGATTGAAAGTACGGTTGAAGAGGAGGTTCTTGAGACGTATCTTAAAGGTGGCAAGAGAGGGGACGAGGCGGAAGGACTGCGGGATGGAGTTCCAGAAGGTGGGGGCAGAGTGGTGGAAGGCCCACCTGCCAATAGTGGGGCAAGCGAGGCAGGCGACGTGAAGCGGGCTGGAACCCGCTGAGCGGAGGGAGCAAACAGGATCGTAGGGATTTAGGAGGTCGCAGAGGTAGGGGAGAGCTGATCCCAGGTGGTAGAACAAGCATCTCAACAACCAGGAAGAAAATATTTAACACAACTCTGAGAAGGATATTTCTTACACCTAATTTTGAAAGTCCACTTTTAATTACAAGTGTAACGCACATACCAGCACTCAGCACATTTCTTTGTTGCATCAAATCCACAAGTATCAATAATTCAGCACTATGGAAACTAAATAGATTGCATAGGGTGGCACAGTATGTTGGTGCTTTAAGCATATTTAATCCGCAGGAGCCCCAGGTTTTGTAATGCTTAGGCAGAACATTCCTGAGTTTTGCCACGCTGCTGGGGAGAGGTTTGTGCAATAAAAACTGGGCATTTCTTACAGAGAAGGTGAAAATGGAAACTGGGCAGTTTTGGCTTACTTCCTGGTAGTCAGGTAGCAACAGAACAAGTGCTGGAGCAGAGCCCCTTATCCACTCTTTTGCCCAACCCAGGAATATTACTCACCTAAGGTGGAATATTGTGGGGGAAAGGCACTAAAATAAAAGAACACATTTTTAAAAATTGCGTTTTTTGGTAGATACACTGACATTTTTTTTGGTCAGACAAAAAAAATCACCATGCTTAGAGGACTCTTCAAACTGTACGACTGAGTGTTGCACATATGTATGGTTTGCGAATATGTGTAGAATGTGCCTTTTCAACCCCATTGTGCAACATTCAACTTTAATTACATTGGATTTGTAAAAACAAATCCTACCAATGTGATATTCTGCTTCAACAGGATACATTTGCCACGTGATACCATGTCCGAAGTGTCAAGCAGGCAAAAGAACGTTTTGTTAAGCATTTAACCTTGTGCTCAAACAAATATTGTTGGATTACACCAGCACTGCACTGACCAAGGCTGAGAAAATATACCAGCAACAAAAGTGCTTTTAGTAACATGCCCTGGCAGAATGTTGAAGCTGAGTTCATAACAGTATTTAAAAGGGAAATGAATAAAAGTTGTTCAAAAATAATCTAAAAAATTGTGAGGGAATGGGTTTAGAATCAGATGGTGATGAAACTTGTAGCAGCACAGGCATTATGGGCTGAATGACCTCCTGTGCTGTAACTTTTCTAGGAACTAAAGATCATAGGAGGAGTCAAAGATCGTATAGGGACATAGGGTCGGTATTCCTTCTTAATAAATCTTCCATGTCTGAATCAAGCTACCGGCCCATCTCCAACCTCCCCTTTCTCTCCAAGGTCCTGGAAAGAGTTGTCGCCTCCCAACTGCGCTCTTTCCTTTCCACCCATTCACTTTTCGAACCCCTTCAGTCAGGTTTCCGTGCTGCCCATAGCACAGAAACTGCCCTGGTCAAGGTCACCAATGATATCCTGACCATCTGTGACCAGGGCTCCCTCTGCCTCCTCGTCCTCCTCGACCTATCGGCAGCATTCGATACGGTCGACCACGCTATCCTACTCCACCGCTTGTCCTCCCACCTCAACCTTCAAGGCACTGTCCTTGAGTGGTTTAGGTTGTACCTTTCTCACCGTCTTCACTTTGTCTCGACGAATGGCTTCTCCTCCACCCCCCGTACTGTCTCATGTGGTGTCCCTCAGGGCTCTGTCCTCGGTCCCCTCCTCTTCACCCTCTACATGCTCCCCCTTGGTGACATCATCCGCAGACATGGAGTTAACTTCCACATGTATGCGGATGACACCCAACTCTACCTTTCCTCCTCTACTCTCAACTCCACGACCACCGATGTCCTGACAGCTGCCTGTCCGACATCGAGTCCTGGACGAGAGACAACTTTCTTCAGCTCAACGTGCGAAAAACCGAGGCCCTCCTGATTGGCTCACGTCAGCGCCTCCGCACCTCAGGCGCCGACACCATCAGCATCCAAGGCTGCACTCTCCACCTCTCAAAGCCAGTCAGGAACCTCGGCGTTTTGTTCGACCCTGAGCTGTCCTTTCTCCCTCACATCCGCACCACAACTGGCACCGCCTTCCATCACCTCCGGAACATCGCCAAACTACGGCATTACCTCACCCCTCACGCTGCTGAAACCCTGGTTCACGCCTTTGTCACCTCAAGGCTGGACTATGGGAACTCTCTCCTCGCCGGCCTTCCCGCCACCTCCCTCCACAAGCTGCAGGTCATTCAGAACTCTGCAGCTCGTGTACTGTCCCGCACCAGGCTTCGGGACCACATCACTCCCACCCTCGCTCGCCTCCACTGGCTCCCCATCCCCCAGAGGATTGATTTCAAGATCCTCATCCTCACCTACAAGGCCATTCACGGCCTTGCTCCCTCCTACCTCTCCAACCTACTATCCCCCTACCTACCTGCCCGTACCCTCCGTTCCTCTGGCTCCGGTCTGCTCCACGTCCCCCGCCCCAACCGCCCTACCATCGGTGGTCGGGCCTTCAGCCTCTCAGCCCCAGGCTCTGGAACTCTATCCCCCAGTGCCTTCGCCTTGCTTCCTCCCTCTCCTCCTTCAAGGCCGGTCTCAAAACCTTTCTCTTTGACCGAGCCTTCAGCTCCCCTCTCGACTCTCTTCCCCCTCCTCGCTCCCTCCCTTCCCTCCCCTCACCCTGACCATTTCCCCCCTCCTCGCTCCCTCCCTTCCCTCCCCTCACCCTGACCATTTCCCCCCTGCTCCGGTCATGACCCAACTGTGCAGCGCCTTGGGACGTCCTCCTGACGTGAAAGGCGCTTTATAAATGGAATCTTGTTGTTGTTGTTGTTGTTGTTGTTGAATGGCTCAGTTTCAAAGCAGGCTTGGCAGAGCTTCAAGTATTCATTTGAAATAAGAACATTGTTGTGCAGATTGGAGTGTGGCTGCAGTAATGTCACCACGGGATGTATGGTTTCCTCACAGTAACACTTCATTTCATTTTGATAAATGGATACTCACAGGCATAGCACAGATTTATCTTGCTGGGACCACCCTAATCATTAGGGCTGTGGATCTGCATCTTTCAGTTTACCTTGGATTACTGCACACCAGCTAGACACATTTCCTCAAAGATAGTGTGGCATTTTGGAAACCACAATTACTACAACTCTACTGCGCTCCTCCCACCCCCACCCCTAAGAGACTAGGTTTTCACAATGATGGGCATTTTATTGACCTCCAAATGAGAGGTGAAGCGATTTGAACCCAAAACTTTTCAGTCATAATTTCCATATTCCACATGAATTCTGCTCTCCTATTAAAATACCTAATTTCTGGCATTTTCTATTGCTCCTCACTACTGAAAGCAAACACAGAAAGAAAAGAATACAAATGAGCCACTGTATTTTTCTCTGAACATGGAGAGGATTATAAAACGTAGTATAATTCCCAATATATTGCAGGCAAGTTAAATATAATAATAATCTTTGCATTTGATATAGTACTTTTCAGATCTTCTAGACATCTCAAAGCGCTTCACAGAATATATTGTAAAGTGAATTGACTGTGCATTTGTGGACGAAACGCGGCAGCCAATTGCTCACAGCAGTGTTCCACAAAAAGTCGTGGATTGAGTGACCAATTTATCATTGTTTTTTTTGAAAGATTATTATCCCCGGAACAGCGATCCGCCAATTCACTAACAACTGGGTTCCTACTTACTGCTAGGTAAACAAAGGCGTGTGGAGTAAGGAAACTTGACCAACATTTCGCCCTGCGAAAGTTTATAATTTAGATTCTTGCACAATTGTAGATATGAGATCATCACTAAATCTGTCCAGAGGAAGTCCGTAGGTTCCAGAAAAATAAACACAAGACAGCACAAAATTCCCTGAATAATTAAAAACAATGTAGTTAGACATCAATACAAGTCAACCATTTACCCTGCGGAATACAACATTGGCTCCTTTAAAGTGGTTGGTTGTTAAATTGCACGCACTTACCATTCTGTAGCCAATAAGTGACTTCATCACTGTGACTTCAAATCATTTTTGCAAATCTAAGAAGCCTTCAAACATTAAGAAATAATTTGAAATATAAAGCACCAATGCACCAGACTGGACTACTGGAGACCATTTATGACAAAACTGGCCCAGGGGAACTTTAGCTAACACTACTATACATGTAAATTGGACATGTAGGGGAAAAAAATGTTGCCCGTATTCAATGAATCCATTATTGAGAAAGGTCAACAAAGCATCAAATTACCATTGTTGTATAGGTGTATGATGGTAGATGTTATTAACAGAAGTTCTGTTACAACAGTGTTGTTATAATATGAGTTCCAGATTCAGGGATAAACTCAAATAAAAATCCAAACCCACGGTTTCCATGTGGGCCTCTGGCACACACAATCACACACCAACCTAGATCCCAGCTCAAGTGGATCCTCTGAAAAGATGAGTCATGGTCCTTTAGGCTTCCTGTGTCTTACCTTCTGACTATTATCTTTAAAACCTTGTGCGACCCTTTCACAAGGCAGATCGCCTCCTGCCTGTAGCCCGTCAGGATCACGTCATTGATGCTGATGATCTCATCTCCGACCTGGAGTTTGCCCACGGCCGCTGCCTTGCTTTCATCTTCAATCTGAAATGAAACCATGAAACGGTCAGACAGAGCAAGCAAGTTTTCCCAATTCACAAACAATTATTAGGTCAACTATGGATACACAGAACCAAGTGATAGGCAATACCCAACATTATGTTCAAATGGTAACCAATCATATTTGCCATAAATGGTGGCCAAATGTTGGTTCTAACCACATCTCGAAGATGTGATAAGGTGCTACATCAAATGCAAGGGTTATTATTATTACGATTGGTGTCTCAAGACTAAACGAGAGTACAGAAGTTATCCACTGTTGCATTGTTTTTTTCCAATGCATTTGTTTACTTGAAGTACTTTTAATTCAGCTTTAGCAGCTTAGCTTTTGCATCAATAATTGTCTTTGATGACAGTATGACAAAAACTCATGAAAATGATATGGTAAGCAGGATTTAGATAACCAGTGATAATTATTACATCACCTCATTTTTTTTCATTCCAACCAAGGTAAGAAAATGCATAACACTCTCTGACCATTTAGTTCCACAACCAAAGACAATTATTGGTATTTTCATCTCCCTCCTGCCTTGGGACCTAGGCTGGATCCCTCCACCTTCCAAATTCCCAACAATGAATATCTTAGCATTGCCCCTTCCAGGAAGCACAAACACAAACAGAATATCTGCCCATCGATGGGTCATTCAAAGCAGCAACTATATTAACAAATTAACTCTTTACTCACCCAACATTACATATTTCTTTAAATTTATAAACTTGTAACCTCATAGTTTGTTAAATGGTTGACTACTTGTATATAAAACATTGAGATTCATTCCATTACTTTCTTGTTTATCTAAGGATTACATGTACTGTTCATATCATATGTTTTGTATCAGGAGTGAAAGTTTAATAATAATTCCTGCATTAGATATAGTTCTTGATCACGTCATTGAAACATCTCAAGGCGATAAACAGGATTTTACTGTAAAGTTTAGTGACCGTGTATTTGTAGGCAAACAAATTAAACCTTATTTTTAAACAAGTACTGCGATAGTCTCCCAATCATTGTCATCTGGTAAAATCCCAGTACTATGTGCAAATTCAAAATCGATACATCGAGTACAGATTGATTGCCAGCCTGGCTCATTTGGTAACATACATACTGGATCAAAAGGTTATGGGATCAAGACCCACATTGGGATGTGAGTTTAGAATCAAGGCTAGCAGTCGATGCAGGCCTGAGGACCGCTGTAATGTCAGAGGTGTCATCTTTCAGACGTCATGTTAAACTGTGGTTTTGTTTGCCTGTTCAGGCGGCCGTTAAAGATCCCACTCTTTGAAAGGGGGAGGGTGTTTATTCCACTATCCTGGCCAACAATCCTCCAGAATAATTGGTCACTCACCTAATACCCGTTTGTAGGATTTTGCTAATGCAAATGGCTTGCCACATTTGTCTACAAATATAGTTACTATAATTCGCAATAATTAAAGTCCTATCCACTTAACTCAAAACTCTTTATGTCGACATGCCTCTTATATCAAAAAAAAAGGTGAAGTCCCAGTACCTTCTCCATACATTAATACTAAAAACTATTTTTTACGAAGTAAAACTAGTAAACTCTGGCACACTTATGTCACCAAAAATTTAGATCCCTAACAGTATTAAAGGCATTGTTTTATTACTAGTTATGTTGACAGTGTATTCCTAAATTACTATTTTTGTTACTTACATGACTATTTTTGTAAATAAGTTAATGACATTTTTGTAACAAAAAATATGTAAATAAATGGCTCAAGAATTTTAATTAAATGTATGATTTTTTAAAAACTAAATCAATGAAAATAAATGTAAATACATGGTACATAAATTCGAATCACCATTGTACGCTTTGACCGCTTATGTCAAAATATGCAGTCAATCTACTTTACAGTATAATCTGTGAAGCGCTTCGAGACATCTCAATGGGGTGATAAGGTGCTGTGTCAAATGCGAGGATTATTATCATTGCAATAAAATAAGTTTTACAAGAAATTGGTTTTATAAGAAAACGAGTGGGGAACTCCTTGCTAGAAAAAGCTGATTGAAAAATATAGTTGTCGAATCCGATTCCCATATATGCTATTTTCAGAAAGCAGAATCATTCAGGATTTACCATAAAAGGTTATGTTCTGGAATCAGTTGTAACTGGATCAGTATCAAATCAACTGATTCACATGAACTGTTGACTTTACAAACAAGTAAGTAATGGTAACAAACTGCACTAATTCCTATTTACATTTTAAGTTATTCAGTTATACTGTTATGGAAAATTTAAATTATTGCATCAGTCCTTGCCAACCAAAACATGTGGGAATCTACTCTCAAATAGAAAGTGCACCTTTTATTACAACAGTGGTGCCATTCTGTTATCAGTCATCATTCTCCCCAAACAAACCCTTTTTGGAGGGAATGATAGGTTGTAAAATTCACTTCAAAATATTCTTCTTTGAATTAGTTTTAGACCAGCAGCAGAACAACCAAGAGAAATGTTTCCTTATTAAGCGCCTTGCTGAAGCGAGCGTTCACTTAAAACGCAAACCTCCTGGGTTACCTGTGGTTACCAGAGGCACAGTGCGCTTTCAGCTTCCTGCGCAGACTGGCCAGCTACTGAAACGTACACAGCACGGGTCAGCCACAACTGCTCTTGTGAGTGTTTCTAGTGGTAGGAATACTCTGGAGATTGGCCACAACTTTGTATGCACTGTTTGTATGTGCAGGTAGCCAGCCAGTCCGCACAGAAAGCCAGAAGTCACATCAGTAGTGATCTGTTAATCCAGAAGCGGGACTGGAGGACATTTCTTTTGAAGATCTGTTATAATGCCTTGGCCTGATACTGGTTAGTGGATAGAGCGCTTGTATGCACAATTACTTATCCCATAAGAATTTTTGGAAATGAGATCCCATTAACATTAGTAGAAACACCTTCAAGGATCTTGGCCTCATTCTCTGTTCTAAATCAGCTCCAGGGCTTTGACTCATGCTTTTTATACTTCCGGCTTCAGTTGCAGAGTATATTGTGGAATAACTGGTGGAACGTGTTATAACATCGATGAACCCCAAAACACATGGTTGACTGCACTCTTTCTGATTTCCAAGGATGCAAGGATGAAAGGAACTGCTCCATAATCCAGTGGAATCCTGTAGCTCAGTGGTTAGAGCACTCGCCTCTCAAGCAAGAGACTTGGGTTCAATTCCCAGTAGGCGAAACCTTGGGCAACTTTCCTTACTCCACACGCCTAATAATAATCCCTCAAGAAAAAAAAAAAAATTGGTCGCTTCAATCCACGACTGTTTGTGGAACACTACAATTGGCTTGGCTACCGCAAATATACAGTCAATTCACTTTACAATATATTCTGTGAAGCACTTTGAGATGGCTAGAAGACATGAAAAGCGTTATATCAAATGCAAGGATTATTATTATTAGCATGACCATATATAGGCAAAAATACATTAGCAGTTTGCATTGGTAACCACTGGATTGGGATGAATGTCTTTGTCCATTGAGCCTCACACATCTCTAAATAAGGCAATCCCAAATAATTCAACTCCTTTCTAAGTATTTGGCATTCACAGTCGTTATAACTTACTATATTTATCACAGTTCCCTGTCCTAGAAATCATTGAAATTATAGGGCAAAAAAGGCCACAATTTGGCCCATTGAGCCAAGGCTGGTGCCAACTTTTTCACTGAATCTGACTACTCAAATCTCAACTGCCGGCTCGTTCCTCAGACATGTTTATATTCTTCCTCTTCTCTCTTCTAACTGTTATAATCTCTGCTTCAATACCAATCCATGTTCTAAGATCCAGGTCCGATCTTGGGACGTCCTCCCAACGCTATACAAATGTGATTTTGTTGTTATTGTTGTAAGAAACCTCAATGTGAAAGGTTTCTTCTAACCTCCCTCTTTACTCTCCCAGTAATTATCTGGTTTGGCGGCATTTGGTACTAAATTCTGGTATGTGGTATGGACTGATTGGACCAAAAGGCCTTTGTTCTGTGCTTCTGTCTATGTGTATGTAATAGGAGCCAATTCATTTGGAATATGATCAGAAACAGGTCAATGGGCCTTTACGAGACCATTTTGTAAACATTTTATAAAATATTTAACTAGCATTAACTAACATTCCTCAAAACACTTTGAGACGTCTTCCCGACGTGAAAGGCATGATACAAATGTAATTTGGTTTGTTTGTATAAATGTAAGTCTACTTATATTGTGCAAGGATTATTAAGTCCACTTTACATTGTATCTTGTGAAGTGCTTTGAGATGTCTCAATGATGTGGTAAGGTGCTATATCAAATGCATGGATTATTATTATGATTATTAATATTATTAAGTTGTGCATGAACCTGACCAACATGATCAGGTTCATAAAGAACAAATAAGGCTACATCCCTCCTAATCTCTTTGCTGCTGGAAAACTATTCCATCTTCAGCAAACAAATGGCCCTCCTTCTCTGTATATATGAACATGCTGTAGCTTTCCAGTTACTTCTGTATATATTAGTTAGTTCTGAAGGGATGTACATTTTCAAATGCCACCTAACCTATTGAAAATAACGTGTAGCTATGTTTTTCCACATTACGGGTTTTCTGTAAAAGGAAGTTTGGTGTTTGTTGCAAAAATAGCAGAAGATATCTTCATTATTTATAACTTACATTCCGTCCAACAGCACTCTCAGTTTTGAGAGTGGAAGTTTTCAAACAATAAAAGGGACAACAAACATAATTTAAATCACATGAGTGACTGAGTCACTGCTTTCAGCAATCTCACGCCTGTGAGATCCTTGACCTCCTAACTCCATGGTGTTCATTCACAGATAAAGGGAACAATATGGTGAGGCAAGCTGTTTATCTTGGAATGTTAGACCGTACCCTTAATCTGCTCTTTCCCACAATATCCAATCAAAGTTCCTGATCTCAAATCCAAGGTATTTGCGTGTAGCTACTTCAGACGAGAGAATAAGATGGGAGGCTATTGTAACACTCAGTA